ATATATATATTTATCTGCTTGACGGCTTTGATGTTAATTATGGGTACTAAAGAAAGGCAAACAGCAAACCCGGCTGAGTCCATTGAGTCAATCGCTCAGCAATGACAACGCTTAACTTATTCTGCACATAAGATGCCGACGTTGGGAGTCACATTGAACGGAGTCCGAGCACAGCCGACGGAGCCGATTGATGGTACCAAGCATGCAGTGCCAAAAGCGCAATCATTCGCCCATTAGAAAGCGATTCTTCGAAGTAAAATACACAGTCGGCAAACATGTAACACGGCATCGGTCAAGGCACGTAGTGTGGTGAAGTGTCGTTCGAAACTTTTGTCATTATAAATAACCTCAAAATAACTTTTTTTTTTTTCTTTTTGAAGGACGATTACACATTATGTGGTATGCATAAGATTTAAAGTTCCAAACTGCTTTTGAACCAGTCTGTCTCTCGGTTGCCCAGACCATTTGCATCCGACGCAAAACCGATGCTGCGGTTTGCGTCCACAGCCTGGTGACTCGGCATTTTTAGCTAGAAAAAAAATTAATGTTTCAGAAATGGGGCTTCAGAAATGTTCTTTTAAAATCCTAAATAATCGGATGTGCGCGTTATACACTGCACCATTACGGATAACAACCATTACAAGCGTTTCGATGGAACTTTTAATTTCATAATTGTTCACCTCGTCAACTGTGCACAAAGGGGCGATTTCCCATGTAGCATGCAGAGCGATACAAGTTGCAACTATAACCGTCCGACGAGATAGAGCGGCATCCATTCTCCCACTTTGAGAACAACGCCAAAGCAACAATAGCTGTTAATCCCAAGCATTCGTTTGACATTATCCGATACTTAGCGTACAGAAGCTCATAACTTCAATTGCGCTAAGATCGAAAAACAAAATGGCGGACTGACGTCATGTTAAAACGCCCTATCAAGAACACAACAAAAAAAAAAAATAGAGTGAGTTACGAATAGACACTTAAAGTCACTGCTTATATAGTCGCATCGGTTGCAGTCGCAATTCAACTCTGATCAGCCCGAGAAAAAAAAAGTGATGAATTTTTAGTGATTTTAAAGTGATTTATTAGATTGAAATCATCTTTTCTAAATATATTTTTATATTTCATACCTTCATTTTGATCTCGCACATTCATTATCAGTTGTTTCAATGCAGCTGAAACTCCAAAAGTAATTCATTCTAAATTTAATTACACACACAAGCACAACTCACTGAAACATTCTTAATGATGGATATAAGCCACTTTGTGTTATTCCAAGTAAGGCGACCTTATTAGGTGTCTAAAAAAGTTAGTAAATATGCTTTAATTCCCGTAATTCGTGAAAATCAACAACTTTCATATCTAAGTCTGCGGATAACCGACGCCATAGAAACGATTGCAAGAAAAACGTTCCCAGAGAGCAGCCCGTGTTTATTCTGAAATGCTGCCTACCAGAGGAGTCAAAAAACGCCAGTGTCTAGCACCAGTCAGTCAAAGTTATCCTCTTCATATGAGCATGCACGTTTGAAACGCACCGAACTGTAGAAATAATGCCGACATTCAGGCGCATTGCCGCGATGCACTCTACTTATAGCCTCCATTCTACTACCGATGGAGAGGAAAAACACTGCATATCTTCGTCAGCTTTGATTCGAAGTATTTAATGTGTACCTCTCAGCAATGCTGAGCTACTGGGAGCAAAATGAAAAGGTAAACTCGACACTTTGATCTGCCTTTACCTCAGAGGTCGACCACTTCGTTTTTCTGTCCGCTTTGACAATACATTCTTTTTTTTACATAATTATTGGATGTAAGCCGCAAATAACTGCTTTTGATCGAAAGTACCAGATGGCGGTCAAAATCTACATTTCTCTTTTTATATTTTTCTCCTTTTTTTTTTTTTTTGGTTGGGGGGGGGGGGGGGGGAAGGTCTGATGTAAAGCAAGGTATAAAAATTCACGTGTATAATATTCTTGACTGTTTTTTTTTTTTTTTTTTTTTTTTTGATTCCTCTGCCCTGGTTGTGATCACACTTCTCGACGTTGTAGACACAAACTTAAAGTTACATAAATGTTGCTTGAGTAATAACTTAGCATCTGAAATAAAGCGACACTGGCTTTTCGTAAACTACGATTGAGTGACCTGGCATCTGAAAAAAGCTGTACTTCTTTGGGATTATCGAAGGCCCTCTGCTACTGGGCGTCGGAAGTGGGCGGGAGGTGAGGTTTGTCTCCTTTCCTCAAATTTCTTAGAGATGTCTTAAATGTCGGGGTAAAAAGAAAGGGGAAGGAAGAAGGGGGTTACCGCCCCCCCCCCCCCCCCCCCCCCCCCCCCCCTCCAAACCCTTTTCCTCTTGCACCGACATTTCAAACATTTCTACAAATTCGGGAAAAACTCAACCCCCCCCCCCTCTTTTATTTTTCTTCTCTCATTTCGTTTCGCCGTCAGTGTAACTGGACCACTTGTCATCGAGCTCCAGAGGAGTCCCCCTGTTGATAACCAAGCCGATGATCTTTGCTCTCCGTTGTAAAAACGATGGCACATTGTTGTGTGAAGAGGCGAAGCCAGTGTCATCCGCGTGTGCAGCAACGAAGATCCAAGGCAGTGCAGTAACAGAGCTGCACGTCTGCACAGTCACCAAAAACGTGTTCATGGGCTTCCGGAGCGAGCGACTCCTCTTGTGGTCCCTGCTGATAGCCGGCGTATGGGTCCAGCGCAGCGACCAGGGGAAACTGCTCAAGATAGCCGGGGCTGCCGCGCTTTTGGGCGGCCACAAGTTCATCCCCATCCCGATCCCCATCAGCTATGGACGGGATCACTACTGCCCAGTGCACGTGCCTCACTACATCCCGTAAGCCATAGTGCCCGATCGCTTCCAAGAAATCATGGCGTTTTCGGTGCAACGCGTAACGACGTCTCCCTTGTGGAGAACAGTGCTACCTTGATCCTCGCACGCCCTAAAAAAAAAAAAAAAAAAGTTTTAGAGCTTGGCGCTAATTTGTCTACGTAAATGTTGATTCGCTTTTTTTCCTTCTTTTTCTCGGGATAAAAGGACGCCTTTTAATATAAATAAAATTAATAAAAAAGATGCATGAACGAGAACAAATGAGGCAATATTTTCTATTAACGTGTTTATCTCGACTCGATTCCGCTCCCTGTATTCCTTCTTTGGTGTCAACGCGCGAATTGTCGCGTATCCCGATGAATTTTAGGTGCTCAATACCAAAAAAAAAAGAAAAAAAAATCCGAACACCAAGCTTAAAAAAAAGGACACCTTCCGAACATGCGTAGGCAGTGACATAAAGTTATTTTCCGCGTGACAGTGCTTGTATACATTTGTGGCTTTCTGAGTTTGAATCTCCTTTCAGCGTGTACCACCACTCTCACACATATCACGGCCACGGAGGATATGGAGACCACGGTGGGCACGGAGGCTACGGAGGCTGGTGGTGATAATTGTGAGCCAGTGTCATAGTGTTCCCGGGAAATTATATGTTTTATGTGTAACGTGCGTGTATGTCACATTTATAATTTCCTGTAATGTGTTTCACTTGCACGTTAGCAGCCATGCAATGAAGTCACTAGGGTAGCGCTCCGACTAGAATAAAATTCAATCGATAGCCTGTTGCAGCACAAGAATAGGTAAGCGGCGTTTGGAAACTTCCGGTTCCTTAGAAAATTTTATTTCGCTGTTGACCAACGACGACAAGCCTGTGCAAGCCTAATTCTAAAACCTCCAGGCTGTACTTTTCCGAACCATGCTAAGACAGCTTTGCAGATCATAGTCGTCGTTTGCCAACAGCTAAACAAAATTTCATAAGGAACCGGAAGTTGCCAAACGCCGCTCACCACAAATTCCCAGAGAGGAAATTACGTCGCCATGCACGTCACACAGTAGGGATCGCATCCTTTTCTGACGTCACAGAAAGAAAGCAGAATCCGAAAGCGCCCTTTTGTTCAAGATTAGCGTTCACAGAAACAAAGCTCCACCGAATGCCCAATGTGGTTTGACTCATTGGGCATGGAGCAGAGATTTTGCAGGAATAGTGTTGCAGCAGGCTATGTGTTTGTGGCGGTAAGGGTGCTCAGAAAGAATAAAGAAACAGGATAAAGAACGACAAGTGCATGCCCCTCTTTAAAAGAGCCGCTTAGCACGAGTGAGGTGAATGTTTCGTCTCTCCTGCATTATTACGCTCCCTTAGTATTCCCACTAAGCTATGCCGGCTGTCGAGCCATTTGTAGCGCAAACAGGAATACGCTTGCATTGCTTTTCTTGTACAGGGTTTGTGATACGAGCCGCTTCGTCGGCCTTGAAAGGGGACCCCCTCCGGAAGCCTCACAGAGTGGTAGCCGACATTTCGATCGACACTCCAAAGATCGTCCAATTTCGTACAAGTTCTTTGTGTAGTTCACCACTTGCCGTAACGTTTTTCCTGTGGCTTCTGACGATGTGACCTTTGCTTCTCTAACATATGTCTATTGTTTATGCGCGGTCATTTGTGTTTCTCCCTGCTGACACTGAAATAAGTTGGCTTTGAAACATAATTTCTGAAATAAAAGCCCAAATGTTGTGAATTAAATTTTAAAAAAAAAGGTTGCTTGCATTTCTTGGGCATGTGTCCAAATGTTCCCATCGATTTTTCTTTTGTATTTTCTTGAGAGAAACTTTCAAGCGTTTATAAAAGATGCCTTGTGAGCTTGCGATATTTAAAATATGTGAAGGGTTTTATTTCACGTGCCCCTAAGCTCAGGAGGCTTAAAGAACGCAGTCATGTCTCTCGGAGGTCCAGGGTCGTCTTTGTTGAAGCAACATCAACCAAGGGCACTAAAATAAAGAGTTTAGAAGCCTTTCCAGAAAACTTCTGCGAGATCTCCACGAAACACGACACAAGAGAATCGGATCACAGAGCGGTACGTCATTAAGTCAAACACACATGCGCGCACCATGCAGTCCTCAGGGAAGCTCTAATACGCGTGATATTAGGCAAAAGGTCGTTGGGTCTGACGCTTTTTCTCAAAAGCAGAGCTTCCGGTCTCTCACTTCCGTCTTGCGGTGCAAGAGATGCTCTTCAAAAGAGGCGCCGTCCAGTTCAGCGATCGTAGTGGTCGTCGTGCCCATAGTCATGACCACCGCCGCCGTAGCCATGCCTACCGCCGCCGTGGCCATGGTGCTTGTAGATCACCTTCTGCGTGTGATGGTGCACCGGAATGTAGACTTTGTGGTGATGATGGAGCTTGTGGTATGTGTGGTGCGTGTGGTACTTGTGAGGCACCCTGCAGCAGACATTGCCAGCGCATGCAAGAATTCCGTTACTCAATTCAGGCTTAAAAATAAGCAAGAGTTAAACGAAGATCTCATCACATCTCATCATACGGTCTCGCTGCGACTGGGATGCACAGAGGTTCACGTTCTTGACCCCTGCCGGCGGTGAAATCCAGACGGACCCCAGGTACGGAGACTGCCTAAGTGCCTTTCTCTTGTCTAGTTAATGGTATATTCAAGACGCATCTAAACCAAAAAGGAGCTCGCGCTTTAAAGCGAAACGAAGTTTAGATTGTTAGACCGAGAATATTTAGTGTGGTCTTACGTTTGTCATGTCCACCCACTTTTTTTCGATTCCTTACGGGCAAAATATTCATGCTGAGCTAAGGAAGGGTAAGAAAGGGAATAGCTGCCTGAAGGTGCTAGTGACGATCCGTAAAATCCGTAATGTCCTGGCCTCATTGAAATTAAGTCACAATCATTCCTTCTCCCCGCTACCGCCCCCCGATGTTTGATGCTTACGTGTCCTCTCGACTAAAGAAATAAAAATAGCAACGTCGTTTCACCAGAACGACATTCTTAGGTATTCGCAAATAAAAATTAAACTGCTTTAGAGAAGAAAATAGCGTTTCTTCTTTGAAACAGTCCATATCTCCCTATACTCTCGACACTCGCAGAAAAAGTCGTCATCCCTCTTTCATGCATAGACTGTACTACAACTCATGGTCACCCAGAAAATTTATTTCCCCAGCCCATCATACTTCCTCCCGCCTAGATCATCCATGTAAAGTTGAACCCATTTTCTCCAGGACTAACGCCTACAAGTGCTCACCCTTTCTATTATGCATTTCGGATTGGAATAGCCTGCCCTCAAGCTTGGTGACAACAAATGAATACAACTATTTTACGCAGCTGTTCGAATAATCTCTCTGTAATGATTTTTTTTTTTCTTTTGGGGTTAGTTTTTCCAGGATCGTGTCCGGTACAAATCAAATGTCGACACCCATGGCTAACACAACACTCTGGTTGCCGCCGTCGCTCATTGATGGCGGTACCTGTCCAGAGTGTTGTGTTTGCCGGTTGTCTGCTTGCCGCCGTCGCTCATAGTTGGCGGCAATATTTCTCCGGAGGAAGAAGAGCGGGAACGGAACGAGCGGCGATCTGTGCAGCAGCGCGAACGGTTTCGCAACCGCCGCGAGGCCGCTATCGCCTAAAGTTCCATTGCGTCGAGCGCTTCAGATTCCCTTGCGAAAGAAGAGCAGATCGCTCGCCTGGAAAGCCACCGCCGAGAACAGAAGCTACAGGCTCTTCCTTCTTCACCAGAGTGGAAAGGCTGAAAGTTTTTTTTTTTTTTTTTTTATCAGAGTTTTCCGAATTTTATTATAAGTAATGTGAATTTGATGTACCCACTTATGTAATGTCTCGCAAGCGGTCCTTAAGGTAATAAAATTAAATGAAAAAACAGAAAAAAACTAATTTTAGAGCTGGCAACCAAGCAGCAGTGTTGGTAAGACCGAAGTGCGTGTCACTGCCTGCGCTAAACCAGCAGGCACGCCGTCCGTTGACACTATTGTTTGCGGAAACCGAGGAGGTCGAGACGTACGGCACTGGCACGGGGTAGTGGACGGGGTAGTACTGCTTTTCTTCGACAGGGATCGGGAGGGGCAGCAGCATGAAGTGGTGACCCCCGAGAGCAGCCGCGGCCAGGGCTGCCTTGAGCAGCTTGCCCTGCAGGCTCGGCTGCACCAGGGCGGCGAGCAGCACGGCCGACACCCAGGCCACAGACCGCGTCATCGCGCCCTGGGAACGTTTGCCGTAGTAGGGTCGCCGTCACATTCCGGCCATCCGCATTTTCCCGGAGCACATTGGAACACACGCCTTAAAAAGACAATAACACTCCCCCCCCCCCCCCCTCAAAAAAAAAAAAAAACTTACAGCGAAGCTGTTTATGGCTAAGGTTCTCTGGATTTTTTCGTGTGCATGACCAAGAACTCTACGCTTGCACCGCCGCACGCGCACGCCTTCCCCGTATAAAAGATTCGAAGTAAATAACCCAAATAAAGCATTGACGAACGCGCGTGCAAGATGCCATTTGTTTTAGGCTTTTGCTTTAGAACAGTTACCGCTGTAGACGCAGGCACGTGCGGTGCGTGAAACACCATTCTCTGCATTCTCCATGATGCCTGGGTAATTCAGCAATAGGTCTATTCAGTAGATTAGTTATCAATTGGCTAATTTTCAAGATCAGTAGACTCTCAGGTAGATAATTAAGGTTTCTCGAAGATTTACCACTGTGCGGCCCGCGTCGGCCATGTTTACGCTCGCACCGCCCTCTCTTTGTCATTGTTCCAAGCGCTTGCGTGCTTAGTTTCCTTTCCTTCCGCTCTCCCGGGGTGGTGGTCCCGTCGTGAGAGTCTGCTTTCCGCCGGGTGGCGGTTCCATCGCGCGTTGCTAGTTTCCTGCAGCTCCTCGGGGCGGGTCTGTGTCGTGTGCTAAACAGCTTCGCTGGTCATCCGCCTTCACAAAGTAGAATGGCTCATGATTTTTGCTGTATTTTTTGTCAGGCGATTCATTATGGTATCAGAAGGCTACCCAATCAATATTTTGCTACAGCGTCACATCTATTTTTAATAAAGTAAAAAAAAAAAAAAAAAAAAAAACGACTGCTCGAAACGGAAACCGAAACTGCACTGGGGAAGAAGGAATATGGAGGAGGAGAGAGTAAAATCACGTGACTGCGCAACCTTTGTTGTTTTGTTGTTGTTGTTGTTGTTTTTTTTTTTTTCAACACCTTTGCGGTTTTTTAGAAGCCACAAAATATGGTTATCATATTTCGTTTCTATTTTTAATATTGAGTGTGTTCCTTCGATGACCCACGACTTTCATTATATTTGGAGGTTCTGTCTAAGGTAAACCATCGAAAACCGCACGTGACCACGGAGAAGAGAGTGAGCGCGACTCGAACCGGCCAGTTCTCGATCAGCGGTTTTCGGGCGGAAAGAAAACGAATTTCGAGAAGCAAATTGAGCTCTGGGTAGTTGGGCTCTCATATGTCATGTACAAATAAAAACATTGTCGAGCATAAATACCCTGTCAAGGAAAAGCGCTAATAAATCATTACAATAAAGCCCCTGCAGATATGATGTTTCCGTTTAGACAAAGTCAAGTTTTAAAAAACGTACCTGTTAAAGGTTAGATTATGAGGAAACTGGCAAGTTTTACCAAAATTAAAAAAAAAAAAAGAAAAAAAAAAGGAAAACGAGATGTGAAAATTTTTTGTTAGGATAGCCAATACGACGATGCTCAGTTCACCGGATCGAGATAAAACGATGCTCAGTTTAGAAGAATGTTCAAATTTCAAAACTGGGGTTACTCCTTTCCAGAAAAGCGGTTTATGAGCATCCGGTCAACCGGTGTTGCAATTTCATTGGCTTCCTTAGCGAGTTGGCAAAACTGCACATTCACAAGCATCAACCACATCGCACACTTGAGGAAAAACACTCACCTTGGAGCTCTTCGGAAAAACGACAGAAGCACCGAAAGCCGTCCGATGACGACGAGTCCCAAGCGGAGCAATGGACCGTCCCGAAGAAAGCGCCCAAAGCGCCGCGTGGGTTCCACCGCTGGCGGAGTAAGGGACAACCAGGTGTCCCAAACGACGCTTTTATGGAGAAGGTCCAGGGACAACCCAGTTCCCAGCGGATGGTTCTTGGTCGGCTGCGACGGGTCATCGTCCAGTGGTTGGGAAGAAAACGAAAGCTCACCGCGTGGAACCCAGGCACCGGCAAGGAAGCACCCTTGCGAGCAGAGCCACGCGGGGCAGGCGCCACCGATATCGCAGCACAAAAGAAAAGCCGCGCACGGTGACGTTGGTTCGGCAAAAGGAGCGAAGCAGTCGAGCGGAGGGCTCTCCTTGACATTCGCCTTGACGCGTGGCTCTGCTCCAGTCAACACGGCCGTATAGCTCTCGAACGCTTCCTTCGTTTCTCCGTCCTTCAATCGCTGCACGCTCCCAGATTCGTTCCCCTTGTTTTGCCGAGCAGAGTATAGGAAACTTGATGTATTAGAGAGTATGTGGAACTTAACATTCATCAAGTTCCATGTTAAGTACCGATGCGCAGACGTGCACCATTCCGCTCTAAAAAAAAAATTCTAGATTTTTGTTTTTAAATTTTTATATAAACGGGTGCGCTGAAAACAAGCAAGATATACAGAACTGCGCACGTTTCAACATACGAGTACATTTGGCTACGTACATATCTCACTTTACAGAAGATATGTTCTGTTTTTATTTAACGCTAGAAATGCAGCTTTTTTTATAGGTTTATGCAGTTCGATTAAGTTTCATTCCACTGGTCCCCGCGGCAATAGCCGCTGCCCCCGTGAATGCGGGGGCAGCGCGGCTATCTGTGGTTTGTCGTCATACGTTTAAGTCCATACGTTTAAGTCATACGTTTCGTAGAAGCTCCGCGGACAGCAGAAATCGCACTTCGCACGCGGAGAGCAAGTCGTCTGCTTCTTGTGCAGGAGTTGCGGTGACGTCAGAACGACACCGAGTTCTGATTGGCTTTGATCGAAAGGATGGTGGGTAGACCTCAATGTTAGACGCCTCAAGATCTACCCACAGTTTTTTTTTTCTTTTTTATCAGCCGATAAAAGCTCGGCGTTCTGACATCAAATGCCAACTTGCATCGTCTGCAAGAAGCAGACGATGCAAGTTGGCAACCAGAAAATGTTTCGCCAGCAGACGAACTTGCAATCCGTTTCTCCGCAGGACACCGGAGCCCGATGAGCGGCGCACTCAGCGGCGCTAAGGCACACATAGAGAGCCCGGTGTTTTTTCTGTGTTTTTTCGTGTTTTTTTTTTTTTTTTTTGCGTTTTGCGGTCACGTGAGTTTGGCTATTGTAAATTAGACTGACCGGCATCGGGAATGGGCCTTTTTTTACTCCACTTGCCAGCAGTATTTGTTTTTATGGTATCGTTGATCCTCTCGTTTTAGAAAAATCAAAGGTGTTTGCACAGGATTTCAATATGAATCTCAAGTGGATCGTGTTTTCATGTGTTCGTGTATTGAAGTTAGTAAAACTAGCTTCCAAACACTTAAGGGGAAGCTGAAACGGTTTTGTATTTGAGGGAACGCACTTAAATCACCTTATTTTGGCCTAAAAAATCTGGAATATAGAAATTATTATTTTTTTTTTTTGTGCATAAAGGATGCAGAAAATCATTTAAAAAAATCGCTGAATGTCATCCTTTACGAAGTGGGGCATCACAAAAAGAGTTTTCGGAATTTCCGCTCTCGTCCATCATCAGCGCCTACCAAAGCTATGCAGGTCCACACTTGCTATTTTTGAAAAGGGCAGAAAAAGAAGTCACGATTGGTACCAGTGCGGGGGAATATACATGGCAAGCTTGCAATAGCACGCGCTGTCCACACGAGCGATACGCGCTTGGCGGCCCAAATATCCTAGTATGACGTCACGACTGATCGGAGTTTTTTCGTGCTTTCTCGCTTTTAGCTGCATCTTAGGGGAAAACGAACATGATATTCAGATTCACAGGATAAAACTACGCCAGAATCAACCTCTATATTATTTTTTGAAAGAAGTGTTTCACCTTCCCTTTAAAGCACAAATACGTTTGTTCACTAACACTTAAAATATAAAGGTTGCCCTATCTTTAGAAAAGTAGAGATTGGTTGGGGGATCGGTGGCCGAGAGGGCTAGTGCACACCAGCTCGGAGCACGTGGAGCGAAATTTCGCGCTGCAGAAACCTGGGTCCAATTCCCACCCCTGCCCGTTTCGATCTGGATGAGCATCGTACCGCCGTGCAGTCGTGTATCACCACTGGATGGTGCACGTTAAAGACCCCAGGCTAGCGGTTGTACTGCACTGGCTACATTGCTCATCTACAGCGAGTGACTCGTCGCATCTTTGAAATGGCTGACACGCTGTCTAAACATCCACACAACCCCAATTATTTTTAGTTATTGGTTTATACTTACCATCAAGGCTGTTTATATGCATTACAATTTATAATGCTTTACGACATAATTATATTTAGAAAAAATTGGGTTTCATTGAGTTTCTTCAAGGGCTCAGGCACACTGAATAACGTACCTTTCCTGTTTCAACAAACCATTGAGATAAGACGGCGTATGTTATTGAAGAGGTGATCTAATCTTATTTAAATCAAATAAATGAAATTTTATGGTCGACTTATTTTTTCACCCTTTTTTATCACGATTTTTATTTGCCGCTTTCTTCAACGCCAGATCGAAGAAGAAAAGGCCCGACAAGGCGGATCAGTGCCTACCACGCGAAGTGCACCTCATTCGCAATGATTCGTCAGTTTCGCCAAGTTCACGGTACTGCGGGCTGCGGGGTGGGCTACCGACGGCCGGACAGTCCCTACCCCAAGCAGTGTCAGCAAGCTTCGGGTCCGGCCACGCTTCAGCTGAGCGATGGCGATCAGAGCCAAGGCGAGCCGGTCCCGGCGCCGGCCAAGGGCGAGCAGGATGAGAACAGCCCGCCCTGCTGTCCGGAGGCCAAGAGCTTCGGGTTGCGGCGCCTGCTCACGCGCCTCCAGGGCCAGGTGCGCGGTCGCAGCAGGACCAAGTCGTCCGGCCGCTACGGCGTCTGCGCCATGGCCCTGAGCCGCGTCAATAAGGTGGCATCTTGGATGCATGCCCTGCGACTGGCCCGCAAGTCGAACGTGGACGGCCAAGCCGCCCAAGAGGCGCACTACAACAGGCTCCGCTCGGACCGCTCGGACGAGTGTCCAGAAAGGCCCTCTGCAGCACCGTCGGTCGAGCTCTCGCTGCGTACGCCTGAAGGCATCCAGGAAGGGTCCCACTGAGCAGCCTCCCGTGCGGCCAACGCTGTCCAGCGCTGTCCAGGCGGGCCATACGAGGACTTGTAAAAATGTTTCGCCTCGCTCAATCCTTAGCCGTTGTCTTTCTTTATCGGGGAGTTGGACTTGATTTCGCACGAACCGCCCGCACCTCGACGAGGCCTTTCCTTCGGGTGCATAAAACTGGTCAAGTGTTGTATTAGCCAAGTAGCTTGTGTTCCGTTTAAAATTGGGAACAACTCTATCTTCCACAACGATGGAATAGATCCAAAGCTACGGGCCGCCAGGTCCCATCATGAGCCACTGCAGCCTGTCCAAGAGGTATATTACTCAGTTTCCGAAGTGCGTATCAGTGCGCGCGTTCCGGCCAAGAGGGGGGGAGGGGGGGGGGGGGGAAGTTGAAGTCTTTTAATAAGCGTCCTTGGCTACGCCACTGGTTTCGGCGTGCACTGGCACGCA